GGGACTTTGAACTCGAGTCAAGGTCACGTCCCACCCTGCATTATATCAGAAATGTTTCACTAGTAGAAAAATGGTAGCGAATTTACAGTTTCTCTGTCACTAATCTTGACTCGTCCAAATGACTGGATATGTTCAGCCAATCCATGAGTTTTTTTCTGACTATAATCGAGGCAAAATGATTCATTGGGTTCAACACAATGTCGAGACTATAGCTCTACTTGTTTGTACTAACTACTTATAACAAAGGAAGAAAAAACTAGCCATTGCCATCAGACCAAAACTGTAGAAGGAGTAGCGTTTTAAAGGAATTTCACATAAATTTCTATTTTTTGTAATCATGACAACACCGTTCATCGAAATCAAAAACGATGCACTTAATTATGTATCACATTGAAGTCTACTTGTGTGTCCAGTTATATTGAAATCAAACTAAAACTGTAGGAGGAGTAGCATTTTTAAGGAATTATATACAGAAATTTCTATTTTTAGTAACCATGGCAACACCGTTCATCGAAATCAAAAACAGATGCACGATATTTTGTATCTTAGTGAAGGCTACTTATGTGCCAAGCAATATTGAATTCAGACAAAAACTGTTAAAGACGTCGCATTTTAAAGCATTCAAAAACCGATGCACTATACTATGTATCTTAGAGATGTGTACTTGTGTGCCAAGTTATATTGAAATCAGACCAAAACGGTAGGAAGAGTAGTATTTTGAAAAATTGTTTATAGACAGACAGACTGCTAGACAGACGAACGGACGGCAGACACTTTACTATCGCATCCCACAGACAGGTGGGACAGATATTTATGTATCGAAAATAACCAAATTAAATAAAGACATCATTTTTAAAGCATTAAATCGTAGCAAAAAAAGAAAATATCAATGGATGCAACACTTTTCAGACGAGGGAGGAGATATGAACCTCTCATAAATACGGTACACATGTATCAGATCATTGCATGTCGGCAATCTAAAATGACACATATTATTTTTTTTCTTTGTATAACCCCCCCCCCCCAATTTCTTAAAAAATGTTTGTACAATCAAGAAAATCGGTTACTTTTCATAAAGATTACGACGTTTCTTTCATTTTCAAGAACCGTATAATGGCGCCCCAAGTGTAGCGGGCTGGGATAGAATAACGTGTAAGAAGTTCGGAATTGTTGCCGCGCGTCAAGCAAATTTTGTTGTGCAACATTCCCAGAGCTCCTTTACTACCCAATGTCCTTTGCGCGAATAAATAAACAAAAAATAACACAAGTCAGACAGCTTTTTAAAAAGCTTGGCTGACTATGTCATCAATATCTATAGAATCTATGAGCATGTTAAACTATTAACATTTACATTTGGGGGGGGGGGGGGGGGTTAAATTATTTCACTGGAGTAAATTATGGAGGGGTTAAATTATTTCACTGGAGTAAATTATGGAGATGTTGCACAAAACATAAACCATATATAATACTGTTTGTATCTCAAATAAAAAATGAAATCATGATCATGTCCCGCTGTAGATTCGAACCCGGGACGAAAAGATGAACACCTCTGTCCGCAAGTCTAAAATGGTTTTAGAGGATGACGTAAATAAGGAAAAACATTTGATTAATGCTTGAAAGCATGGCTACATATAAAGGTGGCAGCTGAAAATATGATAACTCCAAGAAATTGGGGATCTAACAATTATGACTGACGTGTAGAATATGATTGATAGTTTCTTGGGTATGCCAAAGTATCAAAGATTGTTGGAAACGTGGGAAAAATAATTAAAGCTTTAAATGACCCAACAAACTTGACGGCGATATATGAATGCCATGGTGCGGATTCAGGAAGTTTTTCCCAGAGATGAGGGATCAACATCAAATGTTTTATTACTTTAAATGATGTAACTTCTAACTCACTTCACAATGTCACCGAATTGTTTGTTTGTTTTTTTTTCCAAAGCTTGACCAGGATTCTGACAAAAAAGAACAGACTTTACATAATTCATAACTCATGCAGTTTTCATTTTCATTCAATAGAATAGTCCAGAAAAGGGTGCAAAAACCTACACGTGACATTTTGGCGCGAAATAATAGCGTCACCCCTTACCTAGAAGACAAATGGACTAATCCAGTAGTATAGAAACGCAGAAAAAAAGGTCAAACGGACATATATCCTATGGTGGCATATTTCTGCCCCTTGTGTGCAAGTTATTTTTCTATAAAATATCTCAACATGCAAGATACATATGTTGACATGCAAGATAGTTATGTCAACATGCAACATAAATATGTTGACATGCAAGAAAATTGCAATCAAATAAATATTATAAAACAAGAGGCCCCTGGGCCTTATAGGTCACCTGAGCATTATTCAACAACTTCCCAGTAACTGAATTTGATCCATGTTTTAAGCCAGATGCTATAGCATTTACAATTTGGTCATCATAACTATACACTTAGCAGTTCCTTAGTTTGGTTACTTTATACCCATAGGCAGGGTAGGGGAACAAAAAATGCATTTCAACTAATCAGTAATATTCAGCAAAAATCAGTAGTGCCGCTACCACACATGAACCCTTGACTCTTAGGCCTAGATCCACACATTGCACTATTTTTGGAAAGGCATACTTGCTTCTCAAAAATATTTGATTAATACCAAGGAGCACATTTCAAACAATTCATTCATTTTCAGTACATAAGTACAGCCTCCCCCCCCCCCCACTATGGTACAACTGACCCGTGGGCCTTGAAATTTACAATTCTTGAAGACTAGGGATTGCTCATAACTATATAGGTAATTCACCTAGGAGAAAAGAAGAAAATATTCAAAGATTTAATGTTTTTTCACTATACATGTATAATCAATACAGCCCCGCCCTAACACCAGAATCCCTAACCCTGGGGCCATAAAATTCACAATTTTGGCAGAGGCACTTTTGCTCATCATAACTATGTACTTACTTATTTTATTTAATATCCAGGAGAAAAGAAGATTTTCAAAGAATTCATGTATTTCCTCTATATAATCAATAGAGCCCCACCCTGACACCAGAAACCCTGACCCTGGGGCCATAAAATTCACAATTTTGGTAGTGGCACTCTTGCTCATCATAACTATGTACTTAGTTAGTTTATATAAAACCTAGGAGCAGAGAAGAAGATTTTCAAAGAATTCATGTATTTTCACTATATAATCAATAGAGCCACACCCTAAAACCAGAACCCCTGACCCTGGGGCCATAAAATTCACAATTTTGGTAGAGGCACTCTTGTTCATCATAACTATATACAGTCAAAACTGCCATAGCGACCCACTGTATTAAGCGACTCACTGTCACATGTGACCGTAAAAGTTCCCCCCAATGCTTTTTCCTATATATTCTACCTGTATTAAACGACCACCTGTCTAACGCGACCAACGACCGTGATTTTCCTGACCATTTTTAGTAATTTCAAGCAATTTTACCTGAATTTAACGACTACATAATTTCCGATTCCTACTTTCGAATTCGGTCGAAGTTATTTATAGGCTATCATTAAAAAAAAAAAACTATTATTAGGGGGAAAAAAACTTTGCAGCCTTTTTAAACTGTATGAAAAAATATTAATATTTTCAGATGTTCACAATATTTTCAAATATTCAAATGAATCATGTGTGGATCAAGAAATTTTTATTTCTTAACAGGACAATTGTAAAAGCATTTTAGAGTTGAGCAGTACAGCTGTACCTATTAAAAAGTGGAAAAAAACATAAGGAGCTATAAAATACATTCAACATACACGTGTGATATTTTCAGCATTGTATATTTTGAACACTGCGAAAAATAAGCAACCTGTATTAAGAGACCACCTGTCATATGTGACCTTTTTTCCTTTCTCCGTTGGAAGGTCTCTTAATACAGGTTTGACTGTACTTGGTTAAATCATATAAAATCTAGGAGCAGAGAAGAAGATTTTCAAAGAATTCATGTATTTTCAATACATAATCAATAGAGCCCCACCCTGACACCAGAACCCCTGACCCTGGGGCCATAAAATTCACAATTTTGGTAGAGGCACACTTGCTCATCATAACTATGTACTTAGTTAGTTTATTTAATACCCAGGAGCAGAGAAGAAGATTTTCAAAGAAATAATGCATTTTCACTATATACTTATTTAGCCCTGCCCTAGTACAAGAACCCCTGACCCCAGGGCCATGAATTTCACAATTTTGGTAAAGGACTCAATGCTGATTACAATCGTGCAAACAGTTTGACTGCTTGATGTCCAGGAGTAAAGAAGAAGATTTTTGAAGATTGCATCTGAAAATGTTCAAAAGTTTACGAACGACGTACGACGAACGACGACAGACGAAAACGGATAGCAATAGGTCACCTGAGTTTACTCAGGTGACCTAAAAAGAGGCAATAAATTCTTGTAAATTAACTGTTAATAATTCAAGTACATGTACTTCCTAATGTCAAATATGACCAATATCGTTTTGGGTGGGAAGAAAAGGTTAAAGGCTGCCAAAAAATGCTGGTTTTTCAGAAGTTGGGTGCAATGCACACACATAACGTACAAGCTCGTCAAGATTTGTTTTTATTTGTTGGTGCATTTAAGGTTATCTTTTGCATTCTCCGTAAAATGTGCAGATCCAATCAATTTTGTCGAAATATACATGTATTTACATTGCAATTATTTGGGAAGTACATTTACTCTATCTGTGGCAAGGGCCTTTCCAAGGACATATAAAGAATATTAGTAATTTCAGTTAGTGAGAAGTTTTGCACTTTGTCATGATCTTTTTTAACAGATGCATCCAGCATAAACAATTCAGCCGCCGCTGTGTGATTGGTCAACTCATATTATCAACATTGACACGGAAATAGTCTGTTGCACGAGCAACCAATCAGGGATTAGAAGAAACTTCCAGTCGTAAAGCTTGCGGTTAGGAGGCGTGTACTATTTACCTTGAGCGCAGCTGTCACTACAGGTTGTGAGTAAGGCAAAACTTCACACTTAACTGAAATTACTAATATTCAGACTAAAGCTATGTGATATTACCTTTCATTAGACTTCTCCTGTCTTTCCTTCTTCTTTCTCTCCCACTTCTCGTCTTCCTTGGCATATCTGTAAGGAGTAGAGGTCCATAATTAAAGTATGTATTCTTAATCATGAAACTACAGTGTATGATGATACAAAGCATGTCAGATATAAATAGAGCTGGTACAACTTATTGAGATATCATTTACAACTGCTAACATCTTAAAAATGAAGAATCCTTAAAAGGGGTTCAAGGGGCTGTTACAGCCCCTGGAGATTTTTGTAAAAGTTTTTTTTTCTCAAAAATGATATAGATCACACGTTTGCCTGGAAATAAACGATGAAAACAAAACAAGCAGCTCTAAGGACTACAAAATTTTTGTGGAGAAACTTAAGGTGGACAGCTACAAAACTGCCAGTTTTGTTTAAGCATTTGTCTGAGAGAAATGGAAATCAGAAGGATAAATAGAGCAATCCTATTAAAATAATTTATTACCAATAAAATACTGTAAACCAATTCGCAACAACTTTATTTCTCTATTTACCAGGAATAAATTAGTTTGCGACGATTAATTTTCGTGATCAAACCTTTTTGGATCTGTTGTTAGTAGACACATACAATTTAATAACCGGTTTGCCGTGAGAAATATTTGCAATGACAATTAAGGCTCTCACGAACTTCACGAAAATTTCTCGCACGTGAATAAAAGTTAGTTAACAGTAAGTCTTTCTAAACTCTTACTTGTTTTTGTTGTTCTTTTTGCAACAGCAGCAGCAGCAGATGCATACAGTAATGGCAAGGACAATAACTCCTCCAATCACTCCCATAGCAATGATCAGGGCCTCAAAATTCACTGTCAAATAGAGAAGTCAAAATTCACTGTCAAATAGAGAAGTCAAAATTCACTGTCAAATAGAGAAGTCATATTCTCTTATCTCTGTGCTTCTGTGAATTGGCTTATTTCAACTAATGCAAGAGAAAGAGAGAGAGAGAGAGACCATACCACTACCACCCCCCCCTTGCCACTTTGAAATAAAAATTTGTGGTAAGGACAGTAAGGTCCACAAATTCTGTTCATAAACCTCATACCCTTGCCTGTTAAAACTGATGATACTGATCTCTAACCCTTTACTTTGAAATAAAGGGAAATAACTGTAAATTGAAACAGGTACTCAGGAGACAGAGGGAGGGAGGAGAAAGAGACTTACCCCAACAAACTCCCCAGCGAGCCTCTGAGAGGGAGCACAGTGAAGACTTCGGGAGGACATCCCCTGTGGGGTAGGGCACACATTTACTGTTGGTTTTACACCAAAGACACTGAAAAAAGACATCATCATAAAAATAAAAGGTTTATTTCTTTGCATACAACACTATACAAACAAATGAGAAATACTTACAAAAATTTTTTTCTAATGATTAATATACTTATTGATAAAGAAATATACAACAACATTTTATTAATAAACACTGATAAAGCTAATTTACAGTGTACTTGTATAAATGATAATGTATTGTATGCATACCTTTGCATCTTTCAAACAGGTATCACAGCTTGAATTTCGTCTTCTACACTCTGAAATTATAACAAGAATGAGGACAAATTAACATACTATATATTCCTTATTTTTCACGAGTACATGTACTTATTATTGCGAATGGACTCTCCAACGTCAAATCGTGAGAATAATAATTCGCAAATGGACGTTGGTAAAGAGACTTTAAATAGATTTCAGAACCATAAAAATAAAGGCGAGTAATTTTATTTTGCGTGTGGTGCTTCTCGCGAAATTACGTGATAATTAATTCCATGCGTATATTTAGGAATCTGCAGTACCCTGTGTGAACAGACTCATGTGAACTAAGGCCAAAAAAATAATAGTTTTTTAGACACAATGTTTTATTGTTAAAATGAATTATGATATTGTCCTACAGACCCGGTGTAGCATAATATTTTGATACTGCGATATATTATTTTGAACCCGGGTTCGCTGCGAAAATACCCCCTTATAAAATTTTGAACCCGGGTTACCTTTTTTATGTAAGAGGTAGGGGGTTCAATATTGAACCCCCATAATATATTGAACCCCTACCATTTTATGTAAGAGGTAGGGGGTTCAAAATATTATGGCCATAAATATTGATTCCCCCTGCCTTTTTAATTGAAGAGTGAAGGGGGTTCAAAATATTATGGCCATAAATATTGATTCCCCCTGCCTTTTTAATTGAAGAGTGAAGGGGGTTCAAAATATTATGGCCATAAAATATTGAGTCCCCTGCCCTTTAAATTTTACAAAGAGGGGGTTCAAAATATTATGGCCATAAAATATTGAACCCCCTGCCCTTTTAATTGAAGAGGGAGGGGGGTTCAAAATATTATGGCCATAAAATATTGAACCCCCCTGCCCTTTTAATTTTAGAGGGAGGGGGTTCAAAATATTATGGCCATAAAATATTGAACCCCCCTGCCCTTTTAATTGAAGAGGGAGGGGGGTTCAAAATATTACGGCCATAAAATATTGAACCCCCCTGTCCTTTTAATTTATGAGGGAGAGGGTTCAAAATATTATGGCCATAAAATATTGAGTCCCCTGCTCATTTAAATTTACAGGGAAGGGGGGTTCAAAATATTATGGCCATAAAATATTGAGTCCCCTGTCCTTTTAATCTGAAGGGAGAGGGGTTCAAAATATTATGGCCATAAAATATTGAGTCCCCCTGCCCTTTTAATTTAAGAGGGAGGGGGTTCAAAATATTATGGCCATAAAATATCGAGTCCCCTGCCCTTTTAATTTGAAGGGAGGGGGCTTCAAAATATTATGGCCATAAAATATTGAGTCCCCCTGCCCTTTTAATTAAGAGGTAGGGGGGGTCAAAATATTATGGCCATAAAATATTGAACCCCCTCCCTTTTAATTTAAAAGGGAGGGGTTCAAAATATTATGGCCATAATATTTTGAACCCCCTCCCTCTTAAATTAAAAATGCAGGGGAACTCAATATTTTTTGGCCATAATATTTTGAACCTCCTTTCTGTAAAATTAAATGGGCAGGGGGGTTCAATATTTTATGGCCATAATATTTTGACCCCCCTCCCTCATAAACTAAAATAGCTGGGGGACACGATATTTTATAGCCATAATATTTTGAACCCCCTCCCTCATAAATTAAAATAGCTGGGGTACTCAATATTTTATGGCCATAATATTTTGAACCCCTCCCTCATGTAAATCAAAATGGCAGGGGACTCGATATTTTATGGCCATAATATTTTGAACCCCCTCCCTCTTAAATTAAAAATGCAGGGGACTCAATATTTTATGGCCATAATATTTTGAACCCCCTCCCTCATAAATTAAAAGGACAGGGGGTTCAATATTTTATGGCCATAATATTTCGAATCCCCTCCCTGTAAAGTTAAAAGGGCAGGGGACTCGATATTTTATGGTCATAATATTTTGACCCCCCCCCCCCTCTTAAATTAAAAGGGCAGGGTGACTCAATATTTTATGGCCATAATATTTTGAACCCCGGGTTCAATATTTTATAGGGGGGTTCAATATTTTGCAGCGATATTTTGAACCCGGGTTCAAAATATCGCGGGGTTCAATATATTATATGACACCGGTTTAATGAGAGAATTCCTTCCTTGTGATAACTGGACCTAAGTGCATTTTCTTAGAACAATCAAGAGAGTTGCGAATGTAAACATGGCGTGTAAATTTGAAGCAAGAAAAAAAAAATTGAAAAAAATATTCAAATTTTTATCTTTATATGGATTATTTTTGGGGAAAAAGAGCATATGGAATTTCAAAAAGGTTTGTTTTAATCAATTTGGTAGTTATTTTCAGCATAGTCCTCTTTGTATAACTATTCTTCGAAATCATTTCGGAATGGATCTGCTCCGATTTGCTACAGTGCAAGTATAATGGGACGAATTGTAACTGTGGTGAGGGCTTGTCCCCAGACACAGTTAGATTATTCTAACTAGTGAACAGGTACATAGGGCAATCGATTCCTAGCTGCAGAACTCTAGCTCTCTGCTTGAGAAAATTCCGACAGATAAAGCAGAGAGCTACAGATCCAAATATTGTAAAAATGTTCGATTTATGCCGCCAATTTTTTTGTCATTCACTTCGGGTATTTTTTCTTGTATTTTATACTTTCCCCTGCTTTAAAAATAGTATTTAATAATTAATCATACATATAACTTTAATTTCTGCAGGGATTTTTAGGGTCTCTCTGGGGCCGAAATTCGGCCCCATTCCCAATGCTGAAAAGTGCATGTTTTTCCCAAAATTATACCTAAAAATTCCCAATATGAAAAAAGTATTAAGTTGTAAATTATTAAAAAAAAATAAAGAAAAACAAGTGTTTTGTTCCCTATGTGCGATGTACGAGCCATCGAGAAGTCATTTAGAATACTACAGATGTTTTTAAAGCGGGATCAATGTTTAAAAATTAAAGTCGGGATCGTTATTTAATAAATTAATGTGCAAGATGGCAGTCTCTCCAGTTTGCCAGGGACGGTAATTTTCAGGCTGGGTTGAATCCCTCTTGAGTCTTATTCTTATAAATTGGTCAATAAGTACCGATTAATCACTCATCAGGAACAAACCTATACTATCAAATTTTCTTTTAACGAACTTCTTAAAGAAAGGTACAAAAAGATGACAAAGTATAAATATGTTCATTTACAATTTTATCATACTCGGCGGCTTTGCCACTTTTAAGCTTCTGAACTTCAACAGCCACTATTATTTCATTCATGTCAGTAAAGCTGATTGAAGCCAGTTTCATATAATAAAAGATAAGAAAAAAGATTAAATAGTTGACATTTGCTTGTTTTTTTTCTTTTTATTTGTATGATATTTTTCCCAATTTCAACCAAATATCACAATTTTTCCCAATCTTGACGGCCCCGGCCCCTGGAATCAAAGGATAAAAAATCCCTGTTCTGATAATTTACTAACCTTTCACATGTGTTTCAATGCTAACAGAAGGCCATTTGTGGTTACGGACGTCGAAATGGGACTCTTTTAAACTGACATTACAAAACTATATACAGGTCTGTTTCGGACCATTAAAAGGTAAATAGAGTATCAAATAATTATAAGAGTTAAATTAATGATTTATTATCAGATATCAGGGAAAGCTTAACTACAAGAAATAATACCTAAGGTAGCGACAAAAATATCAGTGGCGTAAAACGAAGGTTTTTCCAACGCTTGCATCCGTAGCTCTCTCGATTCAAAGATGGTGAGTTGCTAACTTTGTGCCTATTCGTTTTTACACAGAAATACGACATATTTAATAAATGCTACTTTTCAAGAAAACATTATCAGTCAGGGGTGGTACTGAAATCAGTCATTTTTGAAAATGATGGATAATGGTCATTTCTTCTAAGTATATAATGTACATAATTTTCTGATTTTTGTAAAAATGACGTCTTTTCATCATATTTCCATTCTCAAGTCAATTTTCCCATCCCATTTACTACAGTAATTAGATATAGTACACTATCCTGCCATAGACCCTTGTGTAGAGAAACATCTTGACAAGTAATTGAAACCAAAATAATTTAGTGCGCCCCGTAAAACTAACGAGATAATTAAGTGCGCTCAGACCTAACAATTTGATAAAAAATGATGAAAAACAGTCATTTTTAATATCAGAGATAACTCTATTTCTAAAATAAATTTCAAAATAGAAATGACTGTTTTTCATCATTTTACTAAAAAAAGATGAATTTCCATCATTATTCAAAATCAATTTAATGACTGAAAATCATCATTTTCAAAAATGACTGATTTCAGTACCACCCCTGACTGATTATGACAATACCATCCTGAAATCAGCACTTATGACAATCTGACATAGGTCTGATACCATCTCTGATCATCGGTACAAATCATGGCATTTAAGAATGAAACCAAAACATTCACAAAATTAACGTGATTTCACCTTCTTCCAGTGACGGTGTGGTAACGGGGGCACCACTAGTGGTGGGGACAGGTTTGGGGGTGGTGGTTGGTTTTTCAGTGGTAGGGGCCTCACTCGTATTGTTTGCTGCTGACACTGTGCCGATGACGAATAAAACCAAAACTAACACCATATTTTTTCCTAACATCGTGACTTAGTTCCCTGATGTACAAAGAAATCGTTAATATTTTCTCTCTGACTTTTGACGTCTTTTCTAAAAATCAACAATGAGTAAAGATCACAACTTCCGGCTGTGTTCTTATCAAGGGCGCATAACAAAATAGTTCTAGAAAAAGAAATGTTTCAAACGATAGAAATGAGAAAATCCATATCTAAAGAAAAAAACTTTAAATATGAAGAATGGTTTAATCAATAATCTGTCATTTTGTTTCAGTTCTGGTTAATTTTGGCGTATGAATATTTCACATGGCAAATCCGTCTTTCACTTCCGGTTTAAACTTTCAATTGTGCTGTTTCATACCGACGGCAAGTGGTTGATAGACCATTGCCTTTGGGTAGGTAATTTGAATGAATTTTCCCCCCTGTTCCATAGAGTATGAATTTTTAATTTTTTTAATTCATTTTTTTTGGGGGGGGGTAGCCCACCCACACTTTTTTTCAAAGATAGACGTAATATAAGCATTGAAAATTTGGATTTCCTTTTTTTTTGGTTTAGCCCCCCCCCCCCCCCCCTACCACCACTTTCAATTTGCTTTTGATGCCTTAGTCCCATTTAATGATAGGTTAACAAAACTGAGTGTAACATTGCCTACCTTCCCTTACAGATTTTCTTTACTTTTTGTCACCCAAGCCACAGCAATAATGTATAAACCCCTATCAGTAAGAATTAACAAAAGTAAAAAATATCCCTTGCTAATTAAATGAAAAAAAA